AGACCCCAGCCAGGTGCCTGTCCAGTCTCCTCTTGAAGATCTCCAGGGAAGGTGAGAGCACCACCTCTCTGGGAAGCCTATTCCAGGCTCTGGCCACCCTTACCGTGAAGTCGTTCTTCCTAATATCTAACCTAAACCTCTCCTCCCTCAGCTTGTGGTCATTGTTCCTGGTGACTCCAAGGGGGGCCCTGGCGAACAGACTTTCCCCGAGTCCCTGCTGCTGGCCCCTGATAAGGTTGTAGGCAGCCACAAGATCCCCCCGCCGTCTCCTCTTGCGGAGACTGAAGAGATTCATGTCCCTCAGCCTCTCCTCATAGGGCTGGCCACGGAGGCCCCCAGCCATACGAGTGGCCTCCTCTGGACCCGCTCCCCTCTGTAATGCACACTGAGGCAATAGGACATATTCTGATTGTAGGCACATTGTTCACTTCCCTACATAACACCAAACCAGTCCGGATTTGTTGCCTGATGCTCATAACATAACAAACCTTGGCTAATTGCTTACTGTTTAAGTGAATAGGATCTTTCAGCCCCACTGTTTTTGTGACTTAATGGTATTTTGTTAGCTACTTACTGTCTGTAACTCTGTACTTTGTAAAATTTGTATAGCCCTCCGTATAGAAACAGTGAAGGGGAAGCAGCTGCCAAAAAAGGCTGCTATTAGAAGTATTGCGAATGACTGGAGCTAGTTAGTTTTAAGACTGCTTCTAGATAGGCAGTGCCAAGGGTGCTGTAAACAGTCCTCAAATACAGGGTGCTTAGTGCCACCGTGTTTGCAGGCTGGAAAATGAGGGGGAGCTGGGCAGTCAGGGCTGCTATTGCCACAGCACTGCCACACTGCATACTTAAGCTGCATTAATTGTTTACAGGACTTTTGAGTAAGTGTATGCTGGGGTGGGCAGCCTTGTCGCAGTCCCTAGCTATGTCAGACTGCACAGTGCTTGTCAACACATGCAAGTTGCACAGACAACAGACATGTGGCTGCTTGTGACAGGATATGGCCTGAATGTGGCAAGGGGCTGCAGAAAACAACAACAGTATTGAATGGTTACACATTTGCACTGAAAGACTGAGTAGCTACAGCCTGACCCTGTGTAAATCATGGGAGAGAAGCTGTATGTCATTTAAAATGCTGATTTAAGGGAGTAGTTGTATATTAAATAAGAAGCACAGAACCTTGTTGATATGTTCTTGATATTCTTGTTATGATTGTGTTTGCTGGCAGACATTCTGCTACAGCACAACTGTATTTGATTATTTAGTGCCAGAGTTACCTGTAGCTAACCTGGGGATCTCACGGTTGCAGAGTATTAAACCAAACAGATTTTTAAGACTGAGAGAATGAAACATTCCTGTGAAAACAGTACCCATAATCACAGGAGCGGGGCTCAGCATGAAAGCTATCCACTCTGACGCTTCATACGCTAATACCCCAGCCAAGGTCCCTTCATAGTATATTACTGCAAGATTTCATGCATTAATGCTTCTTCAGAAACTCCTGAAGTTGGTCAGACACTGAGTTTAGATAAATTATTGGCCTAATGACAGTATTTGAATGAACTTAGCATTATGGACCTTTAAACGTCAAGCCTGCTACTCTTTTTAGTTTTTTAAACTGCTTTAATGGGCCCTGCACATGGATAAATATGATCATGTTGCATAATACCAGTATTTCTGTCATTGTAGTTAAATAGTGTGATGTGTTAGGATTAATATAGCACATAGTGTATTTAAAGCCCAAGTCTTTTTAAATACTCTGAACATATAGAATATGAGAGCAATGTGAAAATATATAGTGTGTTTACAATACTTAAGAAAATATATACTTTGTTCTTACTCCCAGGCTTTGCAAAACGATTTTCAAAACCTAAAGGACCAAGAAATCCTCCACCATCATGGAATATTTAAATCAACTTTGTGGACGTGGTACTGTAGATTTGCCATATCCCTCTGACATCTCATATGGTCTTCAAGATGGATCACCGTCAAAATATAAAAAGGAAAAATGCCCGTATTGTGCAGTATCTGTAACCAGGGCATAATGCAAACATCTGTTTTTATCACCTAATCACTTGTAATATAAACAGGGATGCACAAATGAGTAGCAGCTGCCTGGCAATGGTAGTTAATGTGTGACCTTGGCAACACTGTGCTCTGTGGTGGCTGTTGGGGGTGTCCTGGGCTTCATCCATTAGGGACGTGTGGCCATTTTTTAACTTCTCCACCCACTCGTAGACCGAGCGATACGGTGAATTCACCGAGGTGGCACTCCTGTGGCCCACAAAGGCAGTGACAGAACGCTGTTCTTCTTTGCACACTGACAGCTGCACAGCCTTCTTGTTTACAAGCTCACCAGCAGCACACGTGCTTAGCACGAACACTGGCTGCATCCAACGGCCACCATCAGTGTTCCCTGCTGCTGTCTAGTTTCCCACTTTGTTGCAGACACGCAGTGTGGGTAGCTATTTTGCCTTTAGTTTCCAAAACATTCTTGTACATCAGGCTGGAAACTAAAAACAAATATGAAACTTGGTGTCTGAAAGCAAACTGAATTATTTTGGAGCCTGGGCGTTCTTATTTTTAAACGAGCAGGGTCCGTTCCTCTAACTTTGAAGTGTAATTTACTGTAAGATAATGTGTCTGATTTTCCTGTCCCAGTAGTGTCACCTGGGTGTGATACCTCAACGATGTGATTGATGGCCCTGATCTTCCAAATGCTTCAGCCTCTGCACGACTTTACTTACATAAATAGTTCTATGGCAATTTGAGTTAGGCACATGCTTCTCTGTTTCCAGGATAGAGGGCTAAGGGAGAAAAAGCCTTTCAGATTTTAGAACTCGGGTATTTGGCAAAGTATGTTAACATGGTGGTGATTTCCATTTAGATTAATTGGGTCATTTTCTCTAAGCTTCTGTCCGAAAAGTATGTTTATGATGATGACTGTTCACATAGGAACCAAGCCTGTATGGAAACATGCTGTATAGTCTACTCAAGAACATTCACGTGAATGAAAGTGTCCATATATCTAGTTTTGGCCTTTATGCTGTGACTTTTAAAGACCTTTAACTTGCCTAAACCATTTGATGCAGACACTTAGAAGATAAGTTTCCTAAAATCTGAAAGCTTATTTTCTTGCTATTCATATCCAAGGAAAAATGTAGATGTTTTACAAACTGTCAACGTGTTTTGCTCTCTTCTAGAAAAACGCTGACTTGGGAAATGCAAACTATGCAGGTAGTTTCAGGGCCTGATGCGCCGTTTGGCTCATGGAAGAACTTGATGATGATGAATACGGGGATACATGACCCCTAAGAGTGCACGGACTGTTTTGCTTCCAAGTCAGCTGTTTTCTAGCATTGCAAAAAACTATTGAAATGAATTATCTCTCATATTTACTAATTGTAGGTGTTCCTTCCTTAGTTATTGCCAAAGAATGAATATTGATGAAACGAATGCAATCCTTTTGTCCTGTACCCCTGCCCCTGGCCGAGGTCTGTCAAGGGAGGAGAGGGGTTTTGTTGGATTCCCGGGCTGTGTGCGCGGGTGCCTGTGACGCTAAAGGAACTGGAGGCTCTTTGGTTTCACTGCCCTTTCTGCTGGTCCTGAGCTGGACGCAAGCCCTGAGGGGAGTGCAGCAAAAGTGGCTGCTCGGGGTCTTGATGCTCTTTGCTCTAAGACAGCTGGGGGCTGCCCCCTGTGTAAGTCAGAGCGGCCTCAAGGTCATCCGACAAGGATCCGATGTCGAATTAGACCTGTAATGAACTGACACGTCCTTTTAATTTGGACCGACTCTGTTAAGCATTTTACCCTGCCTGTGAGATGCTTCATGGAATAAATGTATTATTTATGCAGTGCTGTTGTGCTGGATTGTCATTTGTTACTATTAAACATTGTGTTGTTATTATTGCACATTTTGTTGCACATGTCGTTGTTGCACGTTTCGCGAGGACGCACCATGCGCGAACACACGTGCTTGCTGCGCGCCCAACGCCCCCACGCGAGCGCGCAGCGTGACCGTTACGACCGTTGGGAGGGGAGGGGTGCCCACGTGATGGCCCCGGCCTGCGTGCCTGGGTGCACGCTCCTGGCGCCCGTCGCAGGGGCGGGACGGACTCGGTTTCCCGGCGGGCCCCGCGGCGGCGCATGCGCGGGCGGCGTCGGGCTCAGGAGCGGACTACAGCCCCCAGCAAGCGGCGCGCGGCGCGTGCGCGTTGGCG